CTGCCGCTTTCCCCTCTACAGAGATCACGCCAGATTGCTTCAATCACATCACAACCCGCTGCCCATGAAACTGGTGCCATCTCCGGCAGCAAACCTCTGTCTCCCCAAACGCCAAACTGCAGCCGCTTTCAAAAAATATCACACATGATGGAGGGGAGGAAGGGAGCAGACTACAAATCAGAATGAGAACCAAGCATTACCAGGCAGCCCCTTCTAATCGCGGGGGGTGATAAAGGAAACAAAACACGTGGCAGATGCCCAGTGGGGTAGGAGTGGGAGACTGTTATGGTCGCCCATGTATGACCGGGGCTCTTTAAGAGCTGAAAAATGCTTCTGGAACAGAAGTCTGGTGAGTGTGTGCCAGGCCACCGGGCAGAGGTCAGGGAGAACCGGATGGGGCTGTAATTGCATCCTTTCCAGCCCTCTGCTCCAATGCTCTGACAGCACCATTTGCTGAACTAAGATCACAGCAGTCATCAGTTTGTGAGTGGCAAAGAGCAGTTTTAGCCAATCCTTTTAACATAATGTTCATGAATTAGTATTATAAATGTTCTCTCAGTGTACTAGACATTTTAGTGTGGATTATATACAAAAACTTGAAGGGAAGTATAACAAGTTGAGACCCTCCCCCCCCCCCCCCCCCCACACACACACACACCAAAAAGGTATTTTTTTTTAAAAGCCACTTGCCACAAAACTTCAGGGCTCTGATTTAGTTTAAGGTGGGGGAACCTGGCGCCGCAGCAGCCATGGGATCTTAGCCAGGCTGCAACCTGACGGAACGCTTCCATGCAACCACCTCGCACTGAACGGCCACAGGTCCCCCACTCTCATCCCTCAAAACAAAGCTGAGCCCAGCCAAGGACCAGAAGGCCTTGCCGTTTCCCTCTCGTGCCCCACCCCCACGCATCAGAGGCGTATCGGATGGATCCGGGGCAGCAGCAGCCGCCGGGCCCCCTGCTTCACGGCAAAAAGCATGATGGGGGATACAGGAGGCACCCACACACTTAGGAACCCTCCCTCTCTGCCTCTCATGTTTCTGATACAAGCAGCTGAGTCTGGAGCCTGGCCGTTTGGATATGACCAGCCACTTGGCTCGTTTGACAGCAGAGCAGGGAAGATACATTTCCTTATGCCAACAAGAGGATACATCACTGGCTCCAGGGTAGCCCCGCAAAGAGAACAGGCTCACTGCTGCCCCTCACTTTCCTTTCCCCTTGCAATAATTTGTGGCCAGGCATTCCCCTTGAAAACTTTATTTACAGGACAGCCAGAAGGGGGGAGGGGCACTTGCTGTGCCAGCGGTGAAGGGAACAGGAAGCACCTGAAAGATGTGAAGAACTAGGAAGAGTCCTGAGTCAACAGTGCCTGAGTCAGCTTCGTACTACTCCTGTGAAATGCTGTCCCTGGTTTACACACAGAGACTGGGGAAACTGAGGCACAGAGCGGGTAAAGCGACAGGCTCGAAGTCTTAGAGCAAGGCAGCTGCAGAGCCCTGTGACAAAGTGGGGACTGTATGCTCTTTGTTTGCTTCATTATGTCGTGCCTGATTTCTACTGTCAGTTTCCTTGGGCACTGCACCAATAACAAGGTGGTGTTGGGACATTCAGTGTGACAGTCACTCTCACGTACACAGTGCCTAGCGCTTACTATAACCCTACCCTGGGAGGGGGAGCATGACCAGGTGACACCTTTGGCCAGGAAGCTGGACAAAGGCTAGAAGCAGGGCTGGCTGAAGGGGAAGACATGTCTGAGTGTGCGAGTGAGTCTTGCTGGCTGTGGGGGGGGGGGGACGACCGTTGGCTCTGAGCCCCCTTTACCCAAGATGGTTTGTACTGACTGCTTCTGGTGCCTGTGCTGACAAGTCTGTTCTACACTGTATCCCTGCGAATAAATAAACCTTCTCTTCTACCTGCTGGTGGAAGGCATATCTGACTGCAGATGGGGGGGAGGTGCAAGGCCCAGTGGCTCCCCACAACCTCGGTGACAAACTCCCAGAAGCCCTGAGCCTGCTCCTCAGCTGTAGGCATCAAACCATTGCTGCTGGAGGAGGCATGGCAAGATGGCGTGAGATATACAGCAAGATGTGCTGCTATCAATGTACCTGGAGATACTTATGAACCGTGCTGACAGCTTTGCAGCTGCTAGCCTGTTCTGCCTCTCCTGCCAGGAAAATTTCACTCCAACTTCCATCTTTCTTAAAATAACTGGACAAATGTTCCCCAAATATGAAGGGTTTCCATGGCAATGTCTGTAATTGCTAGCAATAGGGTTGAAAGCGACCAGACTACTTGCTCCCTGACCACGCATCGAAACATAAACTTTCTCCGAGTGGAATATCATTATGAACCTGACTTCGGTACTCACTCTGTCCTGCTCCCAGAACCAAGTCCCAGAGACTGGTGGCCTCAACTTACTCTTTTAACATCAATCCCCGCACTCCAACGGTGAGCATCAGCAGGTCACACGAGAGTAAGAAATGGAGGCTGCATATCTGCACTGCTGATCCTCTGATTTGGACCCAGCTGCCTCTGATGTGAGGTCCACGTGGGAGGCCCCTTGTGGGGCGGTGACAGAGGCACTAATTGTAGCTGCTGCCTTAATATTGCAAGTGATTAGCAGAAAAAAATGGAAGCAAACTGTGTGGCACAACATGCTGCAGAGTTACACTTTGCTACACTCCTGTGAGGCAGGTGAAAAGTCACCCTACCCATTTTACAGAGAGGGACACAGAGTCCCAATTGCAAGAAGAGCATGTGCTGGGTTGCGCACACAACACCGGCAGGCAAAACCAAACCTGGGACCTCTGGAGCTTAGTGCAGGAGCCTCTGCAGCTTGAGCTAAAAGCCAGCTGGCTCACAGCTAAGACTGCAGAGCAAACTCATTCTCTCTGTAAGTGATCTCAGGGCCACTACATGGGTCAGTGCACCACACCCAGGCTACGTCTATATTGGCAAGATTTTGCCACCTGTCTACACTGGCCACGAATGCTTGCGCAAGAACACTGACGTTCTAAGGTATAAAATCAGTGCTTCTTGCACAAATACTCTGACGCTCCCACTCAGGGATAAGCCCTCTTGCACAACTGTTCTTGCGCAAGAGGCCAGTGTCGACAGGCAACATCAATTTCTTGCGCAAGGAAGCCCGATGTTTAAAATGACCATCGGAGCTTTCTTGCGCAAGAGAGCGTCTACACTGGCACAGATGCTCTTGCGCAAAAGCACATCTTTTGCACAAAGGCACATGCCAGTGTAGACGCTCTCTTACTCAAATACTCTAAGGCAAAAACTGTTGTGTTAAAGAGTATTTGCGCAAAATCTTGCCAATATAGACATAAGCCCAGTAGGTGTGCGGTTTACACATGCAAACTTCTGCACAGCACATTCACGCTGGCACTAGGGATGTAAGCAACTAGTCAGCATATGCTTATTGGGTTGTAGTCAAGTAGTGACTCAACTCATCGCTTCCCCCCTCCCTTGCTGCCTCTATTAGAAAGGCAGAGGGGGGGGAAGGAGGGGGAGAAGGGCAGGGCAGGGCAGAACAGAAGCTGGTGTGGGGGGGGGGGCTTACCCCCTTATCAACTAATCAAGTTGAAATTCCATCGACTACTTGGTTAGCTGATTACACACAATTTAACAACCCTAGCTGGCACCGCTGTGGATGCAATGTGACATGCACGCACTTTGGAAGATCTGACCCTACAAAGATCTGACCGTGCAGGAGTATGCTGAAGCAATGGCAGGGCTGGAACCAATAGACCTTCTTAGCAATGCAGGCTAACGTCCTTAAAATATAATTTTATATCTGATGGAAGTCATAATTGTTCTTAGCCTGAGGAACAATCTTGGCTTTACATGCTAGAATCTAGTCTATTATTTATGACAAGAAATATGTTTAAGCGATTCTCTTATCCTTGAGAAACCAGATGCCGACTGGCAAGTAGCCATATGAAATATGTTCTGTGGGCATTCATTCCAGAGCAGAGCCCATCCTGCAGATGGATTGGACTCCAAGGAATAAATCCCTCTACTTAACCCCAACAAAGACATAAGCCTCGGGAGAATGCTGGTGTTAAAAGTGGGAGTGCTAGCTCTAGCAGAGAGACAAGAAGTCTAGAATGCACAGTCTAGAAAAGGAAGAGAGTTCAAAAAAGAACAACATGGGTCTTCCACCCAGCCCCTGGGGGAAATCTCCCTAGGAGCTAAAATTAAATACCCCCAAGTTTGGAGGTTTTTTGAAGGGGGAAACAATTGTTTTTAAAAGTTTGCTGCTAGCAGTATCTGTGCAGAAACTGTCAAAGTGGGTGGTCCTACTGGAAAAAAATCACACACACACACACACACACACACACACCTCCGCAAAAGCTATTTCCCTTTGGCTTCCAGGGAAGGTCCCTGCATAGTCAATTCCCCCCTAAGCACACCTCAGTGCTGTGGCATTGTATTAGCATCCATCAACAACAAAATCGACAGGCAGGAAGGCAAGGGGGACTGCAGATCAAATTTCTCACTAAACGGAGAGGGCTTCCTTGCTCAAAACAGCAGTGCTAAATGCTAGGATAACTTACACACACCTTCCCTTCCACCATTCCCTCTCCCAGCCCCTAGCTTTCGGCACCCAGAGGAATTGGCTGTGGTGGTTCTAGTTCTGATTCTGCCTAGCGAAATAAGAGCGGAGATCATTAAAAATATAAAGTTACATAAAGCCTGTGCTGATGAAATTACAGGGCCATAATCCAGGGCAGATCAGACGCAATTGAGCTCAACAACCAAGCACACCCCGAGGACTGTTGGCAGAGAGAGGTGCATAGTTAGTCTACTGCCAGGCAGGGAGGTTAAAAAAAGGAGACAGGAGCGAGGTATTTTTAAGGCCCCTGAAATCAAGCAGCAGAGCCTGTTCCCCCAAAGCAGCTGGGGAGGGGTGTCTCTGGAGGAATGACACAATCGGCCACCTCCAGGGGAGTCACAGACACACACACACACACACACACACTCACTCACCTTGCAGCTGGGCGGACAGAGCTTCCTGCTGCTGCTTGTATTTCAGAGCCAGGGCTTCGGCGTTCTTCGCCTGCTGCTGCAAGTGGCTGTAGAGGAAAACTCCGGAGCCCAGACACGCCACCGCCAGAAGGCAGAAGCCGGTTTGCAAGAGCCCCTTCTGCCTCCTCGAGCACATGCCCGTCCCCATGATGAGACGGCAGCAGGCGGGCGCCCCCCGGCTTCCCCTACAGCCCCCGGCCGAGGCGGCAGCGCAGCCCCCCCCAGCGACCCATCCCCGAAGTTCTGCCCTTCCCTAGACCCCCCCCTCCCAAAAAAAAAGTCTTGCGGGGCGAGCCTGTTTCTCTGCTTCCTTGCAGCCCTTAGACTTGCGGGGAGGGGCCCGACCGCCTTTTATTCCTCATAGCCCGGGGGG